TATATTATAATGCTCCGGTTACGGAGGGAAACTTGCTAGGTGAGAGTTTGAGTAAAATTATAAAGAGGAAAATTGTATCATGTGTTGTATCCTTGTTTATTTCATATATTTACCCTGTTTCATATTTATTCACGCCATTACTGTACCCGTCATTATTGGACCACTAGTAAGTGTCGGAGTCGACCCATCGTCACTACTTTTTCGAGGTTAGAATGGATACTTACTGGGTGCGCATTGTTTTCGTACTCATACTACACTTGCTGTGCATTTTTGTTGCACAAGCACACGTATCTCTAGTGGCCTAGTGGGCGTATCAGCATGATTGAAACGGAGACTTATGTGAGCTGCATCTCTCGAGACGACCCGCAGCCAGCAGAGTCTCTTTCAGAGTATTTATTTACTTTCTGTCCAAATTTATATTATGGACAGTTATTGTACTTCATTTAATTTCCTAGTGATTGCTCATACACTTGTGACATCGGGTTCTGGGGTGATTATGGGTATTCGGTATTGAAAATTGTAAAAACTTTTATTTATTCTGTGAAGATTACTTTTTACTAGTTAAATTAAAGGAAATTTATGATTTCAAAAATATTAAAATGAGAGTTTAATTAATTATTTAATGTTGGCTTGTCTGACCAAGGTGTCCGGCGCCATCATGGCCTTTAATGGATTTTGGATTATGACATTTATTGTATCTAAATTATTTATGAATACTCTTGAGAAATTATGTTCCTTAATTTACGTATCAAACACCGAAAAATAAATAAAATTATTACTTGTTTTCCAAGAAAATTAAAAAATATTTTCCGTTATACCAAATATACCCCAGGGAAAAAATCATGACCCCTAAAGAGCAAATGAGGATGATTAATTACAACACTCGAGTATCACAAAGGCGCCACACACGCAAAAAATACCCTATTCTATTGATTTGCTCCGTGCAATTGTTGTGTTCTCTTTTTGTGGTGCATTCCAACTAAGGAGAGCTATCACAATTATGGCAGTAGAATATAGAATGGGAATCTCGCGGGAATATACCAATAAAAAGATATTATTTACTAACAACTAGTCATTGAGTGTGTTGGTCTGGGCCAATTCAGAGAGAATTTATACTTGTCAAGTTGTCATTAAGCCGGGGCCCGTTTGGGCCAGATCAGAAAAACTAGGGTGATTTTTAAAAATAGCCAGATTTACAACTGGTCGTTCAAAAATAGCCCAATTTTAAAAGTAATCAAAATTTAGCCACTTTTCATGTAAAGATAAATTTGAGCGAAAACACTGTTCAAAACCCGGAAAATACTCTAGTATATTATGCTGGAGTTCCAGCATAAGTATACTTGAACTCCAGCATATTATACTGGAGTTCCAGGATAGTATGCTGGAACTCCAGCATAATATGATGGAGTTCCAGCATAAATACACTAGAACTCCAGCATAATATACTGGAGTTCCAGCAAGTATAATGGTCCAGTATAATATACTGGAGTTTGGAGCACCAGTGCTCCAGTCTCCAGTATATTATACTGGAGCCAACAAAGTATACCGATCCAGCATAATATGCTGGAGTTCATACACAAGTGCACCGAACTCCAGTATATTATGCTGGACCGGTCTCTATTGCAGCAAAACGGTGGCTATTTTTCATTGACTTGGTAAACGCTGGCTATTTTTGATTGACCAGTCCGAAAACTGGTTATACCGTGAAATTTTGGCGAAAAACTGCATACTTGTCATTGGTCCGGGCCGGTCTGGGCCAATTAAGAGAAAATGTATGTTTGTCATTGGAACGGCCGGTTCAAGCCGGATTAGGAGAAGTGTATAGTTAGCCACTAATTAGAGATGTCTTTACTCTTTAGCCATTGTTTAAAATGTATTTTTTCTTTATCCAGTGCTTAATAAATTTTTATCCGTCCGGACGAAAATACCCCTGTGCTAGACATGGGTGCTGTATAAATATTAAAGACATGGTGTCCTTAACTTCATGAGTGTTGTGTAAATATTAAGGACAAAGTGCCCTGTCATGCCCTTAACTTCATATGTGCAGTGTAAATGTTAAGGGCATGGCGTCCTTAACTTCATGTGTGCAGTATAAATGTTAAGGACATAATGTCCTTAACTTGTATTTGCACCTTTTGTTATTAAACTTTAGGACCTCATGTCCTTAACTTCATATATGCAGTGTAAATGTTAAGGACATGGTGTCCTTAAATTATGAGTGTTGTGTAAATATTAAGGACATTGTGTCCTTAAATTCATGAATGTTGTGTAAATATTAAGGACAAAGTGTCCTGTCAAGTCCTTAACTTCATATGTGCAGTGTAAATGTTAAGGACACCATGTCCTTAATATTTATAGCACTCATGAAGAAAGGGTAAAAATGTCTTTTTGTATTAATTTTAATAGAGTAGTGGCTATTTTTGCTCAACATTAAAAATACTAGATAAAAACTAAATATCATCTTAAAAAGTGGTTATCCCACGCTATTTCTACCTGGATTAGAGGAGAAAATGAATACCTGTCACTAGACCATGCGGATCCGAGACATATCAGGTTGGGCTTGTCCGGTTTATTTTTTTAATCGTTTAATTTAATATTAATATGTACTATATAAATAGAACAATATAATTTTTATTTTAATATTTGTGGACTTGTAACTTATAAATAAATAATTTAAAGACCAAAATTGAAATAGTTTGTTAAAGCGTCAATGGAAATATGGTGTGAACGATATTAAATAAAATTATATAGTTCATCCATCAACGATATTAAATAAAATTATTGTATTTATCTTTTAAACAATTTCATTGTGTAATTTTTTTTAGGTATAGAACTTAACCTCTACATAATCTGTTATTTGGTGGAGAACCAAGGAGACATTTTTGTCCATTTTAATCAACCGTACGTGAATCTTTTCTTTAAAGAGACGTTGCTTTTCTTTTTTTCTTTCTAAAATTCCTAACAAACTAAGAATATATGCTCTTTAAAAGAAGGAAAGTATCTTTAATCTCAACCGGAAATGAATTAGCATCGTTGTCATCTTTGTTTTCCCCAAATTACACTAATAAAAAAATAATAGCGAAAGGGATTTTTCTCGTAATACCTTCCTCTCCTCCATCTAATTAACATGGAGCTGCCATAGACCTCAAGTTTTCAGTTTCAACATGTTATCTTTTAGCAAAAAAATTAAAGTGATCACTCAATGTAGACAATGCAATAAATGTAATAAGAGGGAATTTATCACCTAAATATTATGTGACTTGGATGATTCTTCCACCTGACAGCAACGTGGAAGGATGGGAAGCGAAGATGGATGATGGATCCTCGGATCTAACAAACAGAGTGAATAATATGTGTTGAGTCAAGTAGTCAATGAACAAGACAATAGTTATATATTTCTCTTTGTCAACTCTTTACAAAAGTGTTCTTATCATCAGAAGTGAAGATCCCCCCTTTTGTTCTCTATTTCTTCCTATTTATAAGGGATGCTTCCAACAAACCCTAAAAAGTACAAAACAAGGAATATTCCTTGTGTCCATATCTGAACCTATCCTTGCATTATTTCTTCACTTTAATTGCTCGTCCTTGACAACAGCCCTCTCGAGGACGGCTTCCCGCTGTTACACCCTGGCCGACCCCGTCCTTGGTCCCGTTTATCTACTATTTGTTGGATTTTGTTGTTTAATAACAAAAGAAGTGTGAATGGAAAATGGTGAAAAATAGAAATGGAGGGAAGTGAAATTTTGAATGAGTTCACTAATGCACTTTGTCCCTCATTGGTAGAAGGAAAGAAAATCTTTGTGTATATAAAGAGAAGCTCATCTTTTAGCTCTTAAAGAGCTAAGAAAAAGGCAAGCCTCGCGTCGTCGTCGTCGTCGCTCGCTCGGCTCGCCTTCGGCTTCGGATTCGGATTTGTCAAAGATCGATTGATTGATTAATCTTTTTGGACAAAATTCTTTTCAAATATTTAATTAATTAATTAAATTAATTAAAGAAAACTCAATCCGAAATAACCCATGACCTGCGACCCGGTCAATTCCGGTCCATTTTTCTTTCCCGGATTATTTAAATCCATTTTATATTTCCCGCAATATTTTGAACAGCCATGGCTGTTCTGAAACAGTGTCACACCTGTTNTTTCTTTAGCCAGTGCTTATAGTTTTATCCGTCGGACGAAATACCCCTGTGCTAGACATGGGTGCTGTATAAATATTAAAGACATGGTGTCCTTAACTTCATGAGTGTTGTGTAAATATTAAGGACAAAGTGCCCTGTCATGCCCTTAACTTCATATGTGCAGTGTAAATGTTAAGGGTATGGCGTCCTTAACTTCATGTGTGCAGTATAAATGTTAACGACATAATGTCCTTAACTTGTATTTGCACCTTTTGTTATTAAACTTTAGGACCTCATGTCCTTAACTTCATATATGCAGTGTAAATGTTAAGGACATGGTGTCCTTAAATTATGAGTGTTGTGTAAATATTAAGGACATTGTGTCCTTAAATTCATGAACGCTGTGTAAATATTAAGGACAAAGTGTCCTGTCAAGTCCTTAACTTCATATGTGCAGTGTAAATGTTAAGGACACCATGTCCTTAATATTTATAGCACTCATGAAGAAAGGGTAAAAACGTCTTTTTGTATTAATTTTAATAGAGTAGTGGCTATTTTTGCTCAACATTAAAAATACTAGATAAAAACTAAATACCATCTTAAAAAGTGGTTATCCCACACTATTTCTACCTGGATCAGAGGAGAAAATGAATACCTGTCACTAGACCATGCGGATCCGAGACATATCAGGTTGGGCCTGTCCGGGTTTATTTTTTTAATCGTTTAATTTAATATTAATATGTACTATATAAATAGAACAATATAATTTTTATTTTAATATTTGTGGACTTGTAACTTATAAATAAATAATTTAAAGACCAAAATTGAAATAGTTTGTTAAAGCGTCAATGGAAATATGGTGTGAAATAACTTTCAACTAAAAAGAAAGAAATTCAAGCTAGCATACCACCGTCAACTAGCATTCACTTTATCTTAAGGATCATAATACAGTGATACAAAGTGACGAGAGAAATAGTATTCCAAACAAAGGAGGAGTAGAAACAAAGAGGAGATTCTTCTAAAACTAAATCTGACACAATTACACACAAACATTATTTACGTAGAGCAAAACAAAAACGAACACACACAGAAACAGACCAAATAAAATTAAAAATAAAAAAAAGAACAGAACTAGGAGTAATTTACAATCAAAGGCCAGTACTGAAACAGTTTCTATTTATCTCCCAACAAGGAAATTCTGTTTCCTAGTGCAAACTCAGGCATGCATGGGCACGCGCTTGTCGTCGGTGTGAATAACAGTACTAGGCTCCTCATCTTTGCGGACAACAGTAGTACTCTCGTCGTCGCTCTCTATAACATGGGACTTGTCATCATCTTTGTGGATAACAGGTACATCATCTTCATCTGGCTCTTCAACTATTTGGATAGCAGGAGGCTCTTCAATGGCTTTGATTTCAGGCAGCTGGTGGTTGACATGTTCATCATCATCTTCATTTTGTATAACAGGAGCTGAAACTGTGAAGTTTTCAGTGAAATAGTTGATGTTGATTATATTAAATTCACAAGGGGTAGCTTTTACTGATTTAGTACTACTGGATTTATTCTTAGAGCTACTCCCGAAAGCGAAATCTATAGGATTCCATACTAGTTTTAATGCTTTGTCTTTAGCATTAAGCAGAGTACCTGCTGCATCCTTTGCAGCATCTGCTATGTTAGTAACCCTGTTAACCCAACCGGGGAGCTTAGGTACCCCAAGTCTTTCTAACAACTCATTGCTGAAATGCTTCGAGTTTCTTGACACGAAGTTGTACTTGTTGCCAGGCCACGAGTCCATGAGCTCCTTTAAAATTTTGTTGACTTTTGAAGGGGAACACTCTGTTCTGCCCAGTATAATTTTCTCGCGGAGGGTGTAGCTAGGGTTTTTACCAGCGGGGCAACTGAAAACGCCGCTGCCTTTGTTGGTGTGGCCGTAGGCCCATTCATCGTTGCCGTAAATTTGGACGGCGGTGTGGAAGAGGCCGCCGAAATTGATGCCATCTTTGAGGAGATTATTCATTTGGACTACGGCGAAGTTGTGAGCGTCGTGCCCACCACTTCTGTTCATGTCATAAACATAGAGGACTACTTCAGCCATGATATAGCTATAAGAGTATTAACTGTATTATTTATTTTTTTTCGTAATTTCTTTAGTCTTTGCTACTCTCTTTCGGGGTGAATGCAAATAAATGAAGAGATGTCTAGGCTATTAATAAGGTCTACTTTTCGCTTTGGAGATTTTTCTTGCTCTGTTTCTAGGCAGATTTTTTGAGTTAATGTGGCACCGGGCCCACTAAAGAATTAAATTCCCATTCTTGAGGAATTTCTAGCATGTATGGCGTTTCTCGAAATATATATCCCGTTTCAATTTAGATAAAGTAGTTTGACTTGCCACAGAGTTTAAGAAAAAATAAACGATTTTCGAAACTTGTGGTCTTAAAAGCTTAAGGGGTAAAAGCTTTGCGGTGCCATGACATTTATGTGATTATAAAAACTTCGTAAAATAGATAAAATAAAGGGTTTAAAGTTGAATTATTTTCAAATTTAGATATGTGTTATTTAATTTGAAACATATTAAAAAAGAAGTATCTTATCTAATTTGAAACGAAGAGAGTACCTCTTACGCCTATTTTCAGTATAAGTTCGAACAATTATCTTCAAAACTATATTCTTTGATTAACAAGTCTTGTCTATCTCTATTTTTGTGCTCACTCAAGTTCTCTCACTATCTCCATTAACCTTAGTCCTTGTCAAGGTTACTTTAAACTGAATACTGCATTATCAATGTCGAAAGCAGAAATTACATGGGATCTATACCATTCCTCTCATCATGACTTGTATAGATTGTTTTCTCACCAAACTTACTTTGCAAGTATTGCCATATTTTGGTATTTTTTAAATTTCTAAAGGTTGCCAAATATTATGTTTCTGAAGAACGGTGTATCTATCCAGTGCTCTCCAATATGTCAAGCATGAGTCCTCTTTCCGTCGGGGGGCAATCTTGGAAAGTGGACAATATAATGTATGTATTGAGCGACGTTACAAGTAAAAATATGAAGCGATTCAAAGTTTATTTAAATTTTAAATAAAGCTTTATTTGTCGATGAGATATGGTTTAGAAATGTTAACTTTTTGTCTCGTTTATACTAAACGTATAGTAAGTAAATTATCATGTCCTCACCTATATGTTTTCACTTATTGATGGTGACATATGTGAAGGAAGTCAGGAACTATGTTATTGTTTTGTAGAGATGGATCCAGAATTTAAGTTCCATGACTTCAATCTTTTAGATTTTCCATTGAACTTATTATATTTTTAAGTTATGGGTTTGTAGCTACTATTTTATAACAATTTTAGTGAATTTTTTATGTAAAATTTATATTTCGCGTCAAAAGTACTGAGTTCAAATGAACCCGGTAACACACCTATATTCTTTATAACAAAATAATGCATGTTATTATGTGTCCCATGGACAACACCATATGATATAATACTAACTACCAGTATGCTAAAAGTTAAAAACTGGAGTATGTTATAAAACAATAAAAGAAAAAGAAGAGTATTGTAGAGAAAAGTACGGAGGGAGAGTTCTTATTGATTTGTGATGATTTACAATGGAGTAGGACCCCCTTTATTTATTGGGAGAGAGTGACTTAGCCACCAAGTAAAATTCCTAAAATCTCTCTAAAATATAGACATTTACCTTAAATAAAATTCTATTTATAACACTCCCCCTCGAATGTCTATTCAACAAATAATGTGCCTCGTTAAAACCTTAACTAAAATAAAATCCCGTGAAAAAAAATTCTAGTGAAGGAAAAAGATTACACATGTTTAGAAATACGCCTTTTGGTTGTCTCGTTAAAAACCTTGCAAGGAAAAGCCAATGGGACAAAACCTTGTAAGGAAAAAAGAGTACAAGGCATATTAACTACCATCAATTCACATCCTTGAGTCTTCGCATCCCAATCTTGTGCACCATCTTCAAAAGATCGTTTGTAGAGATTTGATAAACAAATCAGCCATATTAACTTGAATGAATATATTGCACCTTGAAATCATCAATATTGATAGATATGTAATGTCTTCATATAATGTCGTGGAATGGCCTTTACAATATCTTCATAGAGGTAAAAATTCTCGCTATCACATTATCAAGCTTATTGTTATAGCAAGATACATATGTGCACAAATTGCACTTAGAATATGGTACTTCAGGACCAAAATTTGTATATGCTTTAAGCGATTTAAACCCTTCAGGATTGTCATATAAGTTAAGTCATATAATAGACTTTAATTTATATGCATATTAAGTTTTCATGTCATGCTAGACATATAAGACAGAGAAAGTTGATTGCACACACCATTGAATTTATACTTTCAAGTGTTTGAACTACAGGTCCAAAACTATATGTCTTTATGAAATAAATTATACTTGAATTGTTTCTCCTCCATTTGGCAATATTTTTGTGTATGTATTCGACAGACTTAAGATCCTCATCTATACTTAGCACTATCATAGATGTCGTTGACGAACATTTTGTATCGGTTCCAACCTCCTTTTCTTTCATAAAGACTTAACATAGAGATCCCTTCATTCATATTTTCAGGTACCTGAACCTCTCCTGAGATTTTATGAAATGTTATGTCATGTGATTTTCTAGATCACTTGCCTCCTTATTACAATCATTTTGATCATTTGCTCATTTTATTTATCAAGAATTTTATTTGAAACCGATTTGTCTATACGTTTTAAATGTACCATAAACTTATTCTAATAGGAGCATTTGTAGTGAGAATATAGTTACTTTCTTTTTGCCAGCAAATGCGTTTGGCATACTTTATAATATAGTGTAGATGAATTATCTTTTGTGAACTTCAAGTTCATATTATCTTCAAGGATCTAGAGGTACAAATAATAATTCATTCCACGTAACGTTTTCCTAATGGTTTATCATGTCTCCCCTCATGTTATAAAAACTAACTTGCTTCCTTAACTTTGAAAACCTACCTATGTGCATTATAATGTTAATCAAAATATACACTGCACATCAATAATAATAATAAGATGAAATTACTTAGTTCCTGACCCTGAACCACTTATGAGGGGAGACTTTCGTATATAACCTATATCAATCTGATATAGATAACTTTGTTCCCATAAAAAAATAGTTTAGCTATTAAGTGGAGGCACTTAATAAATTATTTTGCTAAATCAATTGTGATGTAAACCAACTTATCAAGATGAACTGTCTCGAATAGAAATATGAAAATTATGCTCGAAATTAAATTATTAAGCAAGTTACCGCGCAAACATCAGGTTGCGGGTTAATAATAATCGCACATGTAACCATCTCATAGATGTATCTTATGTGGTACACATGACAGGTGAATGGGCCCGCCCATATTCACCTTTAAAATTTTCAGCATTCATGGGATTCAATCCCAATTTTAGTTGGACTATTAGTTGATGAGAACAAACAACATAAGAGAATTCGTAAAGAACTTTCTAGTTTTTTAATATTTACCCATGTGAATTCTCTTTTATTTTTGCACATCATACTTAAATTAACATGGCTAAACCAATTATGCCAACTAAATAAATTATGAATATTGATAAACTTCAGGTTTACACCATGACGTGTGCAATTATCAATAAACTCCAAGTTTATTATGATATGGGTTTTTATATCAATAAACATCCACTTTATTCTGGTATTCTTTTATTTGTGTAGTACAAAATGGAAAATAAAGCGGGTAACTTTTCACATACATATTACCCCGCTACAAGTTGTAGTAATAGAAGATATTAAATCTTTCCTTTATTTATAGTCTCAATATAATCAACCGCTTTCGCGAATGCTTAAAAAACTCCATTAAGTTTCTTTGAGACTTACTACAACACAATGCCTTGTTGATAATCAATTTTATTCCTCCAAATAGTAATAATTATCTCTTCCAGAGCTCTCAATTAAATTGGTACTACCATATATTCATCAACATCCATATGATGAATATCTCTTTCAAAGAGAAAGTTATACCCTTATGGTCATGGTCAAAATTATATGCAAGATCTGTTTATTGCATTATTTTTGTCCTTTATTAATCACATTGCCAAAATATTTTGGCGTACAATAGGTACGTGACCAATGATCATTCATGCCATAATAATGATATTATTTTCTTATTTCCTCTCAAACCCCATTCTAGAGGTGAGTGTGATATATTCACTACTACTAACACGTTTATATTCTTTCAAGAATGAATATGCATTTATAAATCACATGTTGTCACATTCACACCATGAATGGACCATAATCATCTATATGTGCTTTATAAAATCTCATGTCAAATCGATGACAAATATTACTTTCACAAAGTGAAGGATTATTTTGAGAATCCTTATTGTTCTCATTACCATAATGATGACAATTATAATTTCGTCTATTTTCACGTCCACATCCATTGATACATTCATAGTAATGACTTTTTCTTCTTTCAGACTTATCACATACCGCTATCACATTCTCTTAAGGGAATGAGAATGAAGCAAATTCAATGGGACGAGTTTCCAATTCTTTGCCCACAATCATACATGAATTTGATCATGGCAAGGCATAGAAATATTACCATTTTGGGTGGTTATAATTTCTCACAAACTCAACCAGAGTAACAATCAAAATTTATCGTCGTTGCTTGTATTTAAAATCAAATTCTAGAATGTCAAGAATTTGAAAGAGAAAATAAAGTAAAATACTTACCTTAAATCCAGAATTTAATCATGAAAGAAGTTCATGGAACAATTGACAATCATTATGCTCAATCCCAAAGCTTCTACTCAATTGGTTAGAGTCTCGTGCTGATAATGTGTTATAAAACAATAAAAGAAGAAGAAGAGTACTGTAGAGAAAAGTACGGAGAGAGAATTCTTATTGATTTGGGATGATTTACAATGGAATAGGACCCCTCTATTTATAGGTAAAGAGTGATTTAGCCACCAAGTAAAATCCCTAAAATCTCTCTAAAATATAGACATTTGTTGATACCCAATTTTGCCCTCATATTTTTAAAATACATATATACTCTCAAAATAGCATATTTGCATCATTATTTAGTTTACAAACCTATACAAGCATTTTTTATAATTTTCCATAATTTTTAAAGCTCAAAATTAATTTCTTTTACATTTCTTATTATATAAATATCTAATAATT